GTGCTTTGCACCATCTAAATTCAATGTCGTTCTCCAAGATTGTCAGGAGCGCACCTCTGCGTTGACCCTTGTTACTGATCATCTGAAAGTCGTTCAGTACTTCAGTTGTCTAGGCAGCTATATTAGCGCCTGTGGTTTGAAAGACGCGACTCCGAATCGTATAAAGAAAGCTCGAGGTGCTTTTGCCAATCTCCGCTACCTGTGGTGCCGACTCGACATTAATCTCTCCCTGGAGGGTGGAGCTTACAATGCAGTCATCCGTTCCATCCTCGTGTACGGTTGCGAAACCTGACCCATCAGATCGACAGATGTAAACAGGCTTATCAACTTTGGCTATCGCTGCCTTCGCAGCTTAGCTCATATTTGGTGGGAACACTACGTGAGCAATGAACGTGTTCGGCGTCGCTTATTTGTTGCAGGAAGCGCGGGTGAACCGCTTAGCACCATCATATCACGCACCAGGTTGCGCTGGCTGGGTCACGTGTTGCGCCATCGCGGCACGCCGACTCCTGCGTTTTGCGTCGTTGGAACGCCGGGGGTGTGTGGATGAAAGAAGATGAGGTGAGGTCAATGGATGACTTGGTCAAAAGGAATGAATGCCTTCGTTTCGAACTTTGCGTCGGTTGCTATATCTCAACTGCTAGGCTGTGGTCCCAACTGCGATGAACACTCTTTGTTTGATACACTAGTTGACATGGCGATATGGCGACTTCAGTGACGTTTGTGTTATGAGTTTCTTTGTCCCTTCCCTTCCCACTTAGCTTCCCCCTGCACCCACCATCTTCCACTTGATTCATAATATCATATTTAGCATTATATTGCTTTTTAGTTTTTGTATACTGTGATATTTGCTATTTTACCTCTGTGTTTTGGAGCACATTAACTGAAGCGTAGGGGTTCTATGTTGCTCTCTTCCCTCCCTGAACTCCACAACCGACAGTTTTTTTTCCTGGTTTGGACTCATCATTTAGAGATAGCATGAATTGGGAGTAGAACTGCGCATAATGGTTGTCGGCTATCGCCGGGAACACTAGACCATTGAGCCCCGCGAGCACAGCTGAAGTGTGTTTCTCACCCTCAGCGGTCATGTATCAATGATGATTATCAGGGAAAACCTTGAGTATGTAGACGACATAGATACACATTCAAACTCGCTTTATTGTCTACACGGTTTATATCCCATCTCGCTTTATTACCCAGTTTTTTAAAATACAAATTCTTTTCTCATAAATAGGCTAAATTTTCACCGTCTAATTGCTTATTGCCGGAGTCGTTCCACCGCTTAATTGCCCAGCTGCGTGGGCTGTGCTCTTGTCGCTTTGTCAATTTTATGCCCTCTGACTCTTTTATTAAGATTGCCCCACAGTTAGCCAGTCCAATCGACTCAAGAACAACAAATATGTCGGCGGCGTTATTAACAGATCAGAAAGGGTTACCTATGTCATTCAATACACGAGCAAGCCAAATGTACAGACGGCTTTGGGCAAACCCTCGACCCTATTCAAAACTCGAGAGCTGAGCGAAGTCGGGTAAACTTTCCGTGCCACATTTGTCACAACTCTATTGGTACACACTAGTATGCCAAGCAACAGGAAGGATTTGTCCTTGACAGAAAAGTTGGGTGTTTTGGATAAACTAAAACATATCCACCGAGAACCTCGCTGGTCAAGATATCGTGCGATCTACACATTTCGCGTCGTACCCTAACCAGGTTGCTTGTCAGCGAAAGGGAACTCCGGCGGAATTTATCGCATGGCACTGCAAGCTCTCTGAAAAGGAAGCGATGTGGAAAGTATGAAGAAGAAACTGCAGTGGATGATTGGATAATCTCTGTTCATGAGCACAACCAAACAGTTACAAGTCCGCTTCTGAAGAAAAAGGCAGAAGAATTCGGGGAAGGACTTGGAAAATCCTGTGCTCCCACAGAAGGACGGTTGCGAATATAGAAGAATGGAAGTCAAATTGTGTATAAACGTGCACATGGCGAAAAGAGTTCCGCGGACAGAGCAGTCTGATCAGATTGGCTGAAAAATCGGCTGCCTGAACTTTTAAATGCTTTTTATCATGACAACGTGTACAATGCAGACGAAACAGGTCTTTTTTACCGAGCAGCTCCAGAATGCTCTTTGTGTTCTGCTGTCGACAATCCCAGCAGATCGAAAAAGTCATGGATAGGATCACTTTTCTGTGCTGCGCGAATGTCTGGCACGGATAAAGGAAAACTGTTGTTGATTGAAAAAAGTAAGAAACCACAATGTTTTTATGGCGTGAACGTACTTTCACTTCTCGTAACTTACAGAGCTAACAAAATTGCGTGGATGTCGAAACCGGGTAGGTTCACGAATGGGACAAGGAGCTAGGCCAATTTGGCCGAAAAGTTATGTTGCTCTTGGATAATTGCACAGCGCATCCACAAGTAGAAGGACTGAAAGACATTTAAATGTATCTTTGCAGGCAATCATGGCCAGCGTTCTACAACCCATGGACCAACGCATGATTATGAATCTGAGAACCCTTCACAGAAAGGAGATTGTGGACCGAATTCCTTATCACATCGAAAACAACATGTTATCTGGTTCATCATCGGCGGTGGATCTCAACGCCAAAATTTCTGTGCGCAATGCAGTTAAGTTCCTTTCAAAAATTTGGAGACAGGTTACCGGTGCAACAATAAAAGCGTGCTTTCGGCATGCTATCTTCAGTCGACTAGAATCCAATGCACTTTCTGATGACGCCGTCATCGCTGAAGACGAGATCAGCGCTTGTACAATTCCAGTCATTAATGCATTAGAGTTCGTCGCCATGGTCAACGATGTGGAATGTGCCTCAGATCTGACAACTGTTGACGATAAAATCGTCAGTACAATTTTAGCGAACCGACTAGAACAGAAAGAAGGCAGCGAATCAGAGAATGACGTGCCGGATGTCTCCGTGAGTGACAGCAATCAGCGCGTGTCGCATTCAAGAGCAAATAACTTTGAATGATCTGTGTAGCTACGGACTTTTGCAATGGCAAGGCAACGATTTCTTCTCCCGATTGGACTTCATCAGAGCAAAAGTGACTGGGATATCTACAAGAAATAATGTACAACTGACGTTGGATTGTTCTCTCAGTAAAAATATACAGTAGCGCCATTTTCTATAGCTATCCAGTTAAAATGCTTTATGTTATAACTTTTACATTATAGGTCATGCTCTTCTGAATAAATGTCTTTTGTAGGCCTCAGTTAAAGTATGTATTTTATCTTTCTTATCACGTTACAATTCGAGTGACATACTGTGCAATAATTCAATGGTTGTTTCCCTTTGGAAAAAATGGCAATATCGATTAATTGCTCACCCCGCTTTATTGCCCACTTTTGAGATATCCCGATGGTGGGCAATAAAGCTAGATCGACTGTATAACTACAACTGGTTCGGTCTATGCTTACCACTGCACGTCTCGGTATCTGCTAGGCTTTTTCATGTTGCATACTGTTGTTGTTGATCTGGGCCGACACTCCCCGTGTTCCAGCTATCAACAAACAACCACTGGAGGTGTTCGATCGGTTCACTTCCCTCTGTTGTTCACATTATTGAGGTAGTTACTTCGCGTAGCAGCAACGCCCTTGTGGCATTCCATAGGTTGCATAGTCTATGGAGGAAAAGTTACATCAACTTTTCTTCAAAGGCAAGATTTTGGACGCTATGATAAGGCCAGTGCTACTTTATCTATTAGAGCCCCGGGTGATCAACGATTAGCCATCTTTAACCAACGGTGCTTGTGGAGTATTTCCCACATCTGGTGGGAACTTCGGGTGACCAGTGCTGTGTTCCACCAGTTGGTGTTGGGAAAGAAAACATTTGGTGTTTTATTGGAATGCTTACTAATGCTTCCGCGTTTGTCTTGCCTAGTGCTGTTCTCTGTATGCCTGTTGGTTGCCTTTTTGATGTGCAATATATATATATATATATATATATATATATATATATACATGCTTTTGCTACGCGAGTGTGGGTGAAACCACGAGGTGGTAAGTCAATGACTTGGCATGAGGCTAGGAAGAACTTCACCGAAAGACGTGGTCAGTCTGGTGCTTACCTTCTTCGTGAATGTGCTCTCGGAAGGACGCCATCGGACATGATACTTTTGCACAGGCGGCGTCGGCTCTGCGTCCAGTTTCTTGCATCGAACTGTTACTATTCCATGCGGATTAGTTTTCCACTGTTCGTAACTCCATTTCCTTGAGTGCATCTCAATTTTATACTGATAGTTATATACTTGTTATCCTGACGGAGTGATTCGTCGCAACTGGTTCCAACGCACTTCGGTTGCCGGTTCGTAGTTGTTTAACTGAACCGAATGGGATGACGGCGCCATCATAACGAATTTGGTAACAATTACTAACCATGCTTTCTCATTGTCTCGCTTACAAATGGCTAATACTAGATGGGGAAAATACGGTTTTTTTTCTCGTACTAGACGCTTGGTTGAACGCATTCTTGTTCTGTTATGCATCAGTTCGACGCATTCGTTACGCAGATTGGCCGCAACTATTTTCCGTGCAATTAAGGGCTTTCCTAGCTTTTCCTAGCTTTTTGATTTATTTCCTTTCAAGATGTTTCCACTAAATAGATGAATGTGACAGTTGCCTCCTAATCAAACATCCCAGGTTCCATAGAGGTTTATACCCATTGCATAAGATGATCTTTAGAGTTATTTTCCTTTTTTGTCCGTAGCACGTAATATCTTCTTTGTGTTGCGGCACAATAGATGAAGTATGTTTCTTACCCTCAGCTAGCGTGTATTGATGATAATGATGATGACCTTCTTATAATTCTCATGCTTTACGCTATGACTTTTTTCATCATTGACATCTGCATGACAGCAGACGACCATTGCATCATAGTAGCTCATCGAGACCGATTTCTAACTTAACCACATCTTTTCTCCATTTCCCATTTTCAGATATTATTTTTTTACGACGATCTTCATTTCATCGTCTTGTTTTCACCCACAGGTTCTGAGCCACGTCAATCAAGACACCCGTCTGGACAATCGTTGCATTGACCTTCGTACACCGGTCAACCAGGCTATTTATCGTCTGGAAGCTGGCTGTGTTCGCTTTTTCACGGAGTACCTCACTAAAGCAGGCTTTGTAAATATTCAAACCCCCAAAATGATATCTGCTGCCTCAGAAGGCGGTGCCAACGTCTTCAAGGTGTCCTATTTTTCCGGATCGGCTTACTTGGCACAATCTCCGCAGTTGTACAAACAAATGGCGATTGCTGCTGATTTCGGACGGGTGTGTTCCATGTAGAAAATTTTGTGTGTGTTTGCATTGCTGTCTTGTTCGGTGCACTCCGTCCGATCAGCTTTTAAATTATAGTTCATGTCTTGCAATTCGGTCAGCATGTGTCCCCTGGCCTTTTAGAAGAGTTTGCTTTCGTTAATCACATTTATTTGCCATACTTTCTACTTTTAAATGGTTCGTCGTTATCCATGTGGCTTTCTGTCTGCTTAAACGCCCCTGTCGTTGCGCCTGAACCTTGATCACACGCTTTCTCTTTCTCATCACTGTCTAATTTTCCAGTTCGCTGGCTATCCTCAGTTGTGGGTTGTGCATATTGAAATACGGCCTTCATTCTAACTGCGAAATCCAGTGTGACAAAACTGATCGGCCCTAAGAGCATTGTAGCAACATAATATTTCCACTTCGCTCTACTACTTTCGCTTTTTACACCCAGCTTGTGCTCCTCTGTTCTGTCCTCGCGGAAGTCTGATTTTGTGCCATCGGATCAGTGTTGCAGGGCTTTGAGGTATCTGTCTAGTTAATGGACCACCATGAAGCGCTGTCTCATTTTGGATCGAAATTTGCTCTCCGATCATGTTGAACCACATCCAAATTCCTGGTGATCGGAATGAGCTAAATCCAAATTAAGTCAGTGTGTTGCGGTCGTAGCACACGGCGAAAACCCCAGAGTCAGGCAACGAAATCCTAACCGGATTTCCATGCATTGCTCGTGTGCAGCTCATTGGCTTAGTTATCGGCCTAAGCTGGGTACTCTCACATTGTCTGCCATCTCTGCATGAAGAGTGTAAACAAAGACATGACCGGTCATGGAGTCCTGCGTTGGGAGTAAGCGATTTCGAAGCATCTATAATCCAATTCACTTCTTCAACCTTGCTTTTAGCACCGAAGTGCGGAATCTATTTGCTATAACCGTTCATTAATCTAAAAGGCAAAACATCGAAATACATGGAAAACGCGAGCAAAATTGCAAACATAAGTCATTCGTAATGGGGTCAGAAAATAAAAGATGTAGTTGTCGAATGAAATGGTAGATATCATATACACTGGCTTATCAACCACCCACCGTGGTCTACACAATGGCCTCTGTCTATGAGAGTGATACACGCCAGCCATACTATGCCTCTTGGCCTAGTCCCTCATGTTGTTTCGCATTGTCATCAGTTCGCAACTGGACACAATATCCATGACCCTTACAAGCTGCCTCAAGCGGCTAACAGGTATGCGCTGAGAACTTGATCAAACTAATGCGGACCCGATCCACTCCACCAGTACTCATTGGTCTCACACACGGTGTGTCAACTGTCGCACTTATTTCCGTGGTCGCTCCCGTTGAGTCCTCAATTCGTGCTTACCATAACTCCTCTGCACAGCAACATTGACCACATCACAACGTTGCGTACACTTCTTTTGTCCGAGGGACTAATACTTACTTGTCTCCACAGATGGTTGGATTTACGGGTAGCTACGTGAATGCTACCCAGTGTCCTCCGTTATCTCGCAAGTGGTTTGGCTCTGCAGACTTGACATACATGCTGAGATGGCTAACTCGGTCGAACACGCAATTTGATAGCTCGATTGTATTGATCCGACACTACAGTAGTACCGCACGACCTAAGGATACGAGGCACATTCCTAGGTGTTCACAGCTCTACCTTTTTCAACGTTTGTAGGACATCTGAGTCTTCTTCCTAACTTACTTTATCGTATGTGCATGCGATGTACTGGTCAGTTACATAACTGAGTAGTTCAGATACTTCTCGGTTGTTGATTAGTAGTGAAAGCGAGAATCAGAACTTTAGTGTATTCTATGTTCAACAGAGACTTAAGGAGAGACGGCCTAAAGGTAACGACCTTGTCTTGTAATCTGACGGCTCGGGTTCGAGCCTGCGTAGAGGTAGGGCGACGCTCGCAGTATCCTTAGCCCACGTGCGACCCGTGGTGGTTGCGCGGCAGCGAAGCGTCGGTACTGCCTTTTCTAAAATCGAGGACCACGGTTACAAGCATGTAATGCTTACTAACTATTCGCGGGAACTGATAATATGTGTTTATTCTTGATAATTCGTTCAGTTTTTGTGACACTTAATGTGTGTATATGGGTGCTGTTTCACAACCGCCAATCCGAATTAACCTGATCAGAAATGCAGTGCTGTACGGTGCAAACGGACCAGCCACATAGGAGTGTGTGGTTGCGATGAAGGAGCTTTGTCAAACCCAAGCAGCTTTTCTGATTCCGTCATGCGAATTCACGCAGCATTTCTTTACTGAGCGTTGTGCTGTAAGCTTTACAGCGAATTTAGCCGGTTCATCAAGAAATGGTGCCATCACTGGTTAGGTCGCTGGGTAGAGCACACTGCTTTCCAATTTAACTACCTAGCACAGCCCATTCTGACACTTCCGTTTCCCTCGGATGTTGAGTGGCCTGTCTCCACAGATCCTTCAACTGGAGCAGAGATACGAAGCACAATCCAATATTTGAAGCGTCATAAAGCTCCTGGCTCTGTTCACAGATGGCGAGAATGCACCTGTCAGCTGAATCCCATCGCTCTTCACTAAGTTCCGATTGCATGGGCAAAATGGGTCATTGTTCTGATTCCAAAGTAAGGCTCCCGCGAAGATTGCGCCAACTACCGAGGAATTTCGTTGGTCTCTGTTGCGTCCAAGCTTTTTGTATCTGTTCTACTCCGCAGGCTTTCAGTGACTAAAGAAGACGTTTCCCGAGAGGAACAAGCCGGTTTTCGTCAAGACCGAGGTTGCCTCGACCAAGTCTTCACACTCCACCAACTTCTTGAACTCTTTAATGTCCACCCGACGGCCAACAACCGTAAAAAAAGGTGTCAGCTTATACGCCGTAACGGCGCTTCGCTGCCGCGCGACCACCACCAGTCGCGCGCGGGCTGAGTATACCGCGAGGACGCCCACCCCTACGCGGAGTCGAACCGGCGACCTTATGGTTGC